TTTAATGATTACTTATTTTTGACAGACAGAGCATGAGCTGGGGAGGGGCAGAGAGAGAGGGAGACACAGAATCCGAAGCAGCCTCCAGGCTCCCAGCTGTCGGCACAGAGCCCGACACGGGGCCCGAACCCACAAACCGCGAGATCATGGCCTGAGCTGAAGTCGGACGCTTAACCGACTGAGCCACCCAGGCGCCCTTAGACTGCTAGAATTTAAGGCCACCCAGGCAGCACATCCATCCTGTGAGGCAGACAGTTGCGTGAGCAACTGGAGTTTCTGGGAAGTTCTGGATCCAGGCAGCCAGGGCAGGGCAGGGAGGGACACATGGAAGTGGGCGCAGAAAGACGGGCTGGAGCCAGCTGACACTGGCTTCGGTGACAGGCCGGGAGGACTTTTCTTCCAGGCACAGAGCAGTGCGAGCAAAGCAGCAGAGATGAGAAAGCTCCAGCTGTGTGTTCGCAACTGGGAGTACTGGGCTGGGCCGCAGAGTTGCTTGGGCGAGGCTGGGAAGGAAGGGAGAGGGAGGGGGGGCTGCTGTGAGGGGGTCACACAACTCCCTGCTCCCCCCTGTTGCTTCTTAGCTCCTCAAGCTGGGTAACGGCCTCCTGGAAAGTGGCCGCCATTACCTTGCGGCCGGCCGCACCTTCATTGCTGGCATTTGTGACCTGGCCCGTCTGGGTCCTCCCGAGCCCATGATGGCGGTATGTAGGGCTCCCCCCCGCACCCCGAGCAGGCTGGGTGGGGGGCCTGGAATGCAGAGATCCTCTGGGATGGGAGGGAGGGTCGGCCTGGGGTCTGCAGGGCCCAGGCCAGAGCGGGGCTGGGTCCGGAGACGGCGGCCCAGCTGCCCCACGCCTGCTCTCTCTCTGACTCTCCGTGCCCAGGAGTGTCTGGACAAATTCACCGAGAGCCTCAACCACAAGCTGGACAGCCATGCGGTGAGCGGAAGCGGGTGGGGCTGGGGCTGGGGCTGGGCTGGGGGAGCCCTGGGCTGTCTGCGGCCTGACCCTCACCTGCCAGTGTCTGCTCCCCTCCCCGCAGGAGCTGTTGGATGCTACCCAGCACACCCTGCAGCAGCAAATCCAAACCCTGGTCAAGGAGTGAGTGTGTGGGGGGGGGACCCGGTCCTCCGTCCCTCGTCCCGTTACCACGGGGGCCTCCTTCGAGGCAGGAGCCGTGCGGTTGGGGGTTTCGGGTGGCCTGACAGCTGTCCCCCATCCCGACACCACCTCGGAGGCCCGTCCGGAAGGCCGCGAGCGGGCCTCCACCGGGAACCACTCCGCCGGGGACCATTTTGCTGGGCCGGGGTTGGGGGGGTACAGGAGGGGTACCTGTGGTTGTGTGTTGTCCTTCCACCCCGCAGGGGTCTCCGGGCTTTCCGAGAGGCTCGCCGGGATTTCTGGAAGGGGGCTGAGAGCCTGGAGGCTGCTCTCATCCACAATGCC